AAAAAAGATGGCCCTCTGGAGCTGTATTCATTCATCCTGGAACCTGTAGAACTGGTTCTGTGTGTTCTGTACCCCCTATATTCTCTCAGACTAAATTTTGACCTGGACTAATGAGTGACAGGAGGAGATCACATAAAATACTGGAAATTCAGGCCTTAGTTACTATTAGTTCTTCATAGACTTCTACAGAGAAGTTGAAATGTTGCATGAAGCGTTAACTTCTATCGCCACAGCTGTTACAGTTCTTTCTGAGTTTTGTGATGTGTAACAATATCTGTGATTGAAAAATAATGTGTAAGTCCATCAAAACCTCTTACCCTACGTTCTGTTACCTGTAATTCAAGATACCAAGTCAGCAATGTGTTTGGCTTACCTTCACTCCTGCTTTCTTGTAAAAGTCAAAATGTCTGTTGATTTATCACCAGCAGAGATTGCTGCCTTTGGAGTGGTTTTGTAAGCACGAGAGGAAGGTGCATAAGGGACAATGATGCTGCAGTATCTTTTATTCTCTCATCAGAGAGATGTATTAAATACAACAAGAAAAAATGCTTAAAAAGTTTAGCTATTCTTTATACATTTGACTGTATGTATCAGCACTAATAACTTAGTGTTCAATACAGCCATAAATGGTCAGACTTTTACATGATCACCAGTTTTCTCGTGTATTGTAAAGAAAGATGGATCTCTGATCAGATCCAGAAAATCTCTATCAAAAAAAAAAGTTGTTAAATATGTTTTGTTATATATAATATATATATATATAATAATATTATAATAATATAACCATTCAGGTTAAAACCTTCACTTTCTTAGCATATATCTTCTCTGGATTTATCACAGTTTAATGAATTAAGTCTTTGATATGTCCTTAGCACTTTTCTATAGGATGTGCTATTCAACCTCTTCTTTTTGAAGAATCATACTCCTCACAAATCATCTCTATAAAGACATACACTTTCATATACAAGTAATTTTTCTGTATTGCATCGTACCAATTGCAAATATGGCTAGTATGGGGTTTTTTACACTAAACATTTACTGGAAAAAATAAGTAGTATCCAACCTTCTTGCAAGACAACCTTCTAAATCTTCATGTACCCCAGCTTCATCAAACTGAGCATTTATCTTACTTTCCTTGTAATTGTCACAAATATCAAAAGCTATTCCTGGAACCAGCATGCTGCTCATTAACTCAGTTCACTAGGGCATGAATAATAATCATGTTTGAATACAGTTGGCTTGTGTTGGTTCCTTTCTTCTGCTTGGTTTTGGTATCTGAGTATACTAAGGTTCAGGTAGCTTTCCTTGTCTTGTAAGATTATATCAAGTAGGCTGCTTTGGAAAATGAATACTAAGTAAACTTACTACAAAAGCAGAATTAGATAACAAATACAGTTCTTTAATATTTAAAATTGATCCCTACAATAAAGCAAGGTATTGCTCAAGTAAAGTTAAGCAATATACGAAAAATATGGGGATATATTCAAATTTGATCAGTTGTAGTAGGGTCACTAGAGAGGAATAAAAGGTAGTAAGCTCACAAAAAGACTCCCGCTAATGTTTACACTGCAGACAGGTTTCAGTCACCTCTAAATTTTGTAGCAAATATTCTAATGAGCAGAAATTACTCCTAACTATTTCCTCTTTCTTCATCTTTAAAAGCTGATGTCAGTTTAGTTGAAGTATTCAATTTTTTACTTAAAAAAACAGTTAAGGTAAGTTACCTAACTTTCTTAGGTAACTTTCCTGTGCTCTGTTAATGTCTTTCCACAAATAGATGCAACTTAGGGCAAGGGTGTGTAAGGACTGGTAAAACCAGTTTTTCTTTGCTTTAGACTAAAACTTGCAGTATTTCATATTCTTAGAGAGTATCCTGAATCTCTGCACACCAGGCTCATCTAACACACCAGCATATAAAGTTGAACCTTTTCCCAGTCTTACATGAATGACAAATTACCTAATGTTTTAAGTGCTGTTCTTTTTTACCTCTCTCTCTTTTTCTGTGTAGAATATTCTGTAGTTGAGATATGGCCCTCAGCCAAAGAGAAAAGGTTAAAATAGAACCTGTCTGTTGACATAGCTATACCTCTTTAGTTCGTGGTTCTTAAAATATATTTAAATGACCTTCCATATTTCAAAGAGTAGAAATGTCATGCTGGAATTTGTTTCTCTCTCTTTAAAAAATTAGTGGCAATTTTAATTCATCTCTTACCAGAAGTTAAACACCGTAAACAAAAACTCAACTGACTTAAATCAGCAGGAACAGAACATGGTTAGTAGGAGCTGTTGTAATTGAAGTGTTTGACACAAAGGTTTCTTGGAGTTGAAAAGACAGTTTTCCTTGTTTTGTAGACGAGGAGTTTCATATATGACAATTTCATTAAAGTGAAAGTACATTGTTGATAGAGATACAGTAGCTGTTTTTCTAAGAATTAGGTGTTGGCTTCATTAATGTTTACGTAAATTTTGCTCACGTCATTCTCTAGCTCTTTCACTAAAACTGTAAAAATTTATGTGAAATTTAGTCTGATATACTCAAAAACAGTCTGCAAGAGTTGGAATTAATTTCTGTAATTCTTTTTTTTCAATCCGGAATTGTATTTAAATTTAATTAAATAAAATAAGAAACCCCCTTTTTTTTTGGTTCCCCGACTTTCCTAAAAAGCATGCTAATTTTCTTTAAATTCTTGACAACATTAGAATTCATTTTCTCACTGAATCACATCTGAGAAGTACCAGAATATCAACAAGCCAGCTCCACAACCCACCAAAGTCTAATCAATCAGGTTCACAAGACGCATCTATATATCAGTCCCAGTGTCACCTTTGAAATACATAAAATCCCAAAAGTAGTTACTTTGCAAACTGAATGTATAAAGTGATGCCTTTCCCTGAACTACATGATTCATTTAGCAATCATATTTTACTTCATTATTCACAAGGGGTTTTTTAAATTAGAAATCCAGCACTGACATAAACTACAACTTTTTGTTGTGCGAATTAGTCATATTTATTCAAGATATTGCATTAGACATATGTTTCCCAAACATTATTATAAAATTATTAATGAAAAGCATGCTAACTGTAATAAAACACTATAAAAGGTAATATTCCCTGTATGGTACCTTCTACAGCAGTGTACAAATGCTTTAACAAGTGGATTAATAGGAGCTAGGAGTCCTGGCAAATGTCAGTGCCAGGTAAGTTCAATTTACTGAATATAGCCTTTGCAAGGATTATATTTTGAACATACCTTTCAAATGGTTTTGCTGCTTCAGGATGCAGCAGACTTAACATGTACATTTGAGGGGATCTTGTTCAATTCTAAGAGGATGAGTGTTGACAAAAGTTGCACGTTTTGTATCAGCTGAAGTATTCACTAGTTGTCTTGTTGGGTCAAAACAGAGAGAACACCACTGAAAAAAATGAAATACACTGTAGGCCAGATACACTGAGGAATTCTAATAGAGTACATACTGACCTACAGCTGGAATGTAGACACAAAACATACAGATCCACTGTGCCATTCAGAAAAAAACCTGTTGAATTTTTGGGCTTCTTTAATGTAGAAGAACAGCACATCCTCCTTAGAAGAAAATTTTCATAACTAATGAATTTCTAGAGTCCTGCTGTTGTGCGTTTTTTTCGTAGCAATAGGGGTTTTGTATGTGCTACACTACTAACCTGCCCTTGCTTCAGTTCTGATGATCACACTGCTCACACTGATGGCCTGATGTTTGATGATATGAATTGGCCTGATGTTTGTGGTTCATTCTGGCAGCCTGAAACAGTGATCATGAACCTGAGGTTGAACATGAGTTATGGGGGGATACAGAGAAGCTTGCGCTGTTGCTATAGCAAGAGTTAACTCCATGTGACACTTTCAAGCATTTACACAACTTCAGAGCATAAAATATGATTAGACAATACTTGCTTCATCCTCTCACACTAAAAAATATTTCTTTTTAATCCGTCTTCTGTGTCACCTAGTTACGGTCTTTGATCAGGCAACATGCCTAATGACAAACTTCTGAAAGCAGGTTGAGTCACCTTGTCTTTCAAAAATCCTGACAAACAAGGCTCCTTGGTTTCCTATTTCAGTATCATACAGATAATTACAGCCAAAACAAAGATTAATTAATTCATTTGCTTCTTCTACATAAATAAATGTGTGATACCTAGTAAACATTAATGAGAGCATATCACTGAGTGCCACTGAAATTTGTGGCACTCTGCAACAGGAAATCCTAAAATACTTGCAAAACATTTATAAAAGGTTTATAAAGTAACAAAGTAGTCAACTTCTGCTCTGAAAAACAAGTGCCTTCCTCTGTTAGAGCAGCCCAAATTTGCCTGCTGCATCCATGAAAGCTGTTCATTCTGTGAAGGTCAAAGGTTTTGTTGTTGGTGAACCAGCTGATCTGTAAGCCCGTCGGGCTGTACTGCTGAGCATAACAAACTGCTGTGCATTGCTGACGTGCGTCACAGGACCCTGGGGTTTTGCACGGGGATTAGTCAGGCTGTATTTGGAAACGCCCTCAACTGCACCCTGTGCTGCTATATTAGTGTTTCTCAAGCAAGAGGAATTTTCTTTTGCTTCTGCAGCTGCTCCTGCAAAACCCTCTGGTAAGTGTGCACAGCTTCTGTCAACAGTACCGACTGTCTTCTTGCCTGCATTTTTAAGCCAAGGTTATGAGCTGGGGGCTTACTTGCAGTTGTTTACTGTGACAAACTGTATTTTTATATTAAAAATTTGATAGCACAGAATTAGCAACAGCACTAAAGGAATAAATATACAGTTTTAATTGAATAGGTTAATCCAGCTTAAATGTTCCTCTACTTTTAAAGATGTATCAGAGCATTCTTAAGTGTTGGTATTTTCAGAGTGATGTCACTATGTACCATGTATGTCAGCTTTTATTTCTATACAGCAGGAATAGAAAGATCACAAAATATAGCAGACCAATTCTTAAAAGGATTTGGTTGGTTTTTGTTGGCAGCCTGCATGCAAGCCCTGCATCTCTGGACTCTGCTTGCCACCTATGCTGTTGCAGTAGGACAAAATCAAGGACAGAAGAATCAGGAGTGCCCTAAGCTCAACGCACAGGTACTCTCCTTTAAAAACACAAGAGCAAACGCTGTTGTCATGTTTTCTGTGAAAGCGCTCTCTCCAGATTTTTTTTAATTGGGTTTTTTTTTTGCAAACTAAGTATCAGAATCCAGCACGTAAAGTATAAAAAAGATGTAAATAAATAAAATAGGAAAAATCATTTTTAGTATGCATCCTATTCCATGTCTTAAAATAGCTTAGGCAGTGAAGCCACTTCAAGTTATTTCATATAACCTGTGCTGGATATCTAGTTTTCTTATAGCATGTTATCAAGCACCTGTGAAGATGCTCAATGTTCCGTTCTTTCATTCACATAATAACTTAGCCTATTTAGTTTTTAGACAAGTCATCCTAAGGCTCTTTCTTGACATAACTACTAAAATAGTAATTTGGTAATTACTAGTTACTAAGGACTTCTTACCGTGTTTGAGCTTGCAGCATATGAATATAAAATGTATTATGGTTTTGGTAATTATAAATTGTAAGTATTTGTCCTGAGCTCAGGTTATGCTAGCGGAGCACACAATCAGCAGTGCATTTCTTCTGACTAGCTGCACATAATGGAGTGACTGATGTGACTACACTCATGTCCTGTAGCTTTTGATGTTCCTGTCTAAAACTTAAGCCTACTACTGGGGCTGCTAAGAGAAACCTCTGCTGCACTAATGGAACAAAATTCAAACAGTCTGAATTAAAGCCAATCTTGCTTTATACGTATATGAGCTTTTACATATGGTGGAAGAGGTACACACACTCTTGTTCTGTGGGTTTTGTTACGGCTCCCCTGCTTCTTGCAACTCATACACTGCAAATAGCAGAAGTTACGTGAAGAAGCTTGCATGTATTTCTTAGAAGTTTTTTTTAGAAAGCTTTGTTTTCTAGAGTAAATAATGTTCTGTAATAATAGGAAAAAAAATAGGAGTGGAAAATAACATGTAAATCAAGGAATGTGCTCCTTTTCTTTATAATTTCACCAAACTCTTACTTTCTTCCACCAAGAACACTAAAATCAATTTTCTCTAACTTCTGGGTATCAAATTTCACGGTTATCACTAATGCCATGCCCTGCCTTTTTTTGGAATATGTCCTTAAGTAAGTATATGTGATAGCTAGTCTCAGACCTTGGCATTGGGCATCTGCAGTTCACAAAATAAATTTATCCTTGGTTTATAGTCATTTATGTGGAAATTGTCAGCATAGACTAGAAATAAAATTTACAAATAATTGAATCCTATCCATTTCATCACTTTGATCTGCATTTTCTGTGTTCAGAAATAACACTGATAGTTCCTTCTCCTTGCCAGCGCACCCATGTGTGTCCTCTGTATCAAAAGATAACATATTTGGAAGCTAGTCTAGTCTAAGGCAGGTTTACCAACAAGGTAGAAAACCAGAAATTTTGTGATACTTGAAATTCACATACTGTCAATAGCATTACAGCTAAATGATATTGTTGTATCACTTATGTGACATTATGGTCAGCTGAAATTTTATGGAATATTTTAATACATTTGTAAGTGTGAGAACAGTTCTTACTATGATTCACAATTCCTGACTCATAGTCTATCTATCATTGAGATTGATAGAGAAGTTCCCTTAAAATTTTATCCACCCATAATTCAGGGTGTTTTCTTCGCAGTGATTTTTGGGAGGCTTCCATACTAGATGAGTCTTATTAAAATAAGAAAACTTCGTATTTGCCAAGTAGTGTAAGCTTACAGGGTATCAATATAAAAATACTCTGCTCCAGTGTTTTATGTCCTTCGTCAAAGCATTGCTTAGCAGACTTATGATGACAACCTCCTACAGTTTTAGTTATTACGAGTAATATTTCAGGTTATGTGTCTAGATTTGATTGTGAAATGAGCCATATCTCTATGTAGTTAAGATAGCAAGTCATTCATCAACTCATCCTTCCCAACTTAAAATTACTGACAGTGAAAACAACAGGAGGTCCCACACTGGTCCTTTATATCAAGTTCTTTATTTGACATTATTTTTAAATTTTTTTTCTATTTTTTGTTTTAATCATAGAGACTTGTTTTACTGGGTAGGGGGATGGAAGTAACTGCTTTACCTCTGACACTCAGTAGATTCAGAAATTCGGTATAATCCTAATTCCAGAATATGACATTACTCCCTATGCACGCAATCAGTTATTCATTTCCTGGGATACCTGATTGGAAATGCTTGCTGTGGCAGCTGTAAATTCACTTAGATCACTAAAATGAATGACAGGTCTTATCACCAGCTCTTGTTTTATAATCAAACTGACACGGCATGCACTTAGATCCAGGCCGTCTCACATACTAAGAAAACAATGTATATATTAAGCAGCACCTGGATACAATATAAAAGTAGTTCCATTTGCACTTCTGTTTTGTACTTCTGTTATCCAATTGTATATAAGAAACTTCATTTCAAAACTAGAATTCAATAGGGTCTTTACAGCAAATACTTTATTAAACCCAGCTACACAGATGCATGTCTCATGTACTAAATAGACTTGTAATTTTCAAAACTATCCTGGTTGTAAAATGATGCATTCTGTGGTTTGTAGGACTGGGAGATTTCCAAACCTGCGTGAATCCATTACTGTTCATTCCTCAAGGTATGACTATAACATCGTTAGCTACAAAATAATTTCCTGCATCCTTATTCCAGTTACCTGCTGTCACAAACAAGCAGATTGTTTTTTCCTTTTCATAAGTCCAACTAAGCTCAGCCTTTAAAATAATCTTTTTCAGTTTTGTCCTCCTTCCTTCTTTCAAAGGCTCCTTAAAAATGTCAGAGACTAGAAATTTAAATGTCTTTGTGGCCAGTGTATATGCCAACCACAAACTACCTTTGGGAGTTGTCATCTTTTAACATGTGTTTTAAGAGATACCAGCCTCTGTGCTATTTCAGTAGCATATAGATGTCCCTGGTAAGAAAGCAAAACTCTTCTCACACTTTCATAAAATGACAGAATACATAGAGGCACTTAAATCATTCAATATGAGGTACTTTCAGATGTCACAATGAAATATGAATTCCTTTTCCTGTGTTTATGCCGTTTTAGTTCTGTGTGTGGAAGCTTCTCATTCTGAAAAGCTTTCTTGACTTCACTAGGTGCTGTGGAGATTTTTGTTTGGCTGTTTCTCCCTTTCTGTTCTTCCCAATCAACTAGTGCATCAAATTTTGGGGCCTTTTATGCGTATACTGAGTTGACTCCTAGAGTTTTCTTAAACTAGAAACACAAATTTTATCAAATTGACTGAACTTTTCTTATTAGCATTTTTTTCACCCTTTGTTCTTTCACCTGTCTTACCAGTTCTTTCCAACTAGAATCTGCTTTTCTCTTTCAACTGTGAAGAATGGCAAATATGCAACAATGAAACAACAAGGTAGACTGGGCAGAAGTGTAAAACAATGAAGTTTGAGACAGTTTGCCAGAAAACTGGTGACTGCAGTTTGTTTAGACTTCTGTTAGACAGTTTCATTTACTTCTACTATAATAATGGTGAAGACTAAATAAAAGAATTGCTGCTTACTGTTGAGTTGCAAATATTAATACAAGGAACTAGTATTGAGGAAAGGGGCTATTTTGACTAACCATATTTATCTGAGGCTTTATCAGATGCCACATCTGTAAGGAAGACTTGGTTTTTCTGTGAAAGTGCCTGTGAGACAGAAATTGTCTGGGTCATAATTGCTGCAGAAGACTTCCCCCTCCTAAATTAAAAAATGCATCAACTGACATCAATTCTTGTGTAAAAATGAAAAATGTACTGGAGATAAATTAACCTTATAAACTGATCTTGAGTAGGAGTATCAGTTTACAACATCAAAGCAGGAAGCTTTCATCATACTTAAAATCTTAAGCAATCTCTTGTTTAACATGATCTACTAAAGTGTTTACCAGGATTTTTCCTCAGGTTGTTTCAGAAACTTACGAAAGGGCTCTGTCTGAAGTGAAACAGTACCTGAAATGAAACAGTACCAAACAATCCACCTTTCCTCATACAGTCTCTTCCTCCGATCTCTCCATCTCCCTCAACATCTGTTTAAATTAGTTATATTAGGAAATCTGTTGCTTAGTATCTAAGTGAACCAAATAATGCTTGAACTACTTCTTAGAAAAGCACGCATTTAGATTTCACGTTGTTTAATTTTTGCATTCCAAATCTAAAAATACACATATAATTTGCTGAAAGTTAAAGGAATTAGATTAGGTAATATACAGTAAAAAAACTACCTAATGCAGCCAAATTGTTTTATCTTTCATTATAAAGAATGCTGTATGTGCACAAGGGGTAAGCTTGCTTTTGTTTACCAGCGCCATATAACATAGAAAAGAAATACCATAAAACACCTTTAAAGAGTCACAGATTATTAATAAATTATTTTGTGAAGCTAGATCTGCTGCTAATTGTGAATAAATATCTATTAATGCTTTGTAAAGGTATATCTTGAAAGATTAGCAAATTCTTTAATGGATATTTTTTAGGAATTCTATTTCTTGTTAACACTCAGTTCTCTCAATGACTCCTAGCCTGGGATGTAGGTGATAGCTGAAAGTCAGTCCTAATGTACCTTTTGTGAATTTGCTGTGCTAAATAGAAGTAGTAGCAAAGGACTGCAACCACACAGGGAACAATGATCTTGGCTTAGGAGGTACCACTTCTAAAGAAAATGTCTGTGCCATAGGATGGCAAAGGAAAATGTCAATTCTTCTAAACTAAGTGAAATGAATCCAGTTTGTTTCTTTAGGAGATTTATAAAGCAAAGAAGTAGTGAATCCCCTGTCATGACTTTAGAATTTTTGATAAGATACTCTGGTATAGGTGAAACTTTTTGAATGGCTGGAAAACCTTGGAAATTTATCAGAAACTCAGAATTCTAGAAGGATTTCTATTTTCTGTTTTCAGTAGTGTTTTTGAGGATATCAGCCAGAAAGTAGCAGTAAGCACACTGGGGATTAGAATTATTTGTTATATTGAAAGATAGGAGCACTGATATGGAAGAAAAGATACAATCCAGCAAGATTAAGTGTAAAATTTAGCAGTTTGTACCTGTTTCTACCTAGGAGTAATTTTGAAGAGTATTTGCTCATTACCAGCTGAACTTGAATCATTCTTACCATAGTATTGGTAACACACTGTTTGCAATAGTTTAAAATGCCATCTTTTTCTTAAATGATAACCAAATTGCAATTTGGCTTCAAGTTGGCTATTAATAATAAACAAAAGACTTAGCAGCATCAAGAGCAGGGAGAAAGAGTGCTGCATGACTTACTAACAATTGGTGATAGAAGAACTCTGGGTCCAGAAATGTTGCTGGAAATAGCAGCTACCCCCTTTTTATCTTTTTTTTAAATCAGCTCATTGCAGCAAAAATTACATGCTAGCTATATGAAAAGAAAAGCTGAATGATCAGAGTGCTAAAAATGTAATTCCTAGCACTTCGTCATGTCTGAAGTTCTATCGACAGAAAATAAAGTTTGCTACTCATAAATGCCCATGTAGACAGATTGCATGTCGGATGCCTTTGCTTTAGAATAGGTCCATACATGATTATAAAGGATGGAAATGCATGGTACATTGGGAGATTTTTGTAAATAAGTAGTTCTTTTACCATTTCTGCAAGGTTGAAGATAAACTTTCAGAGTAAGCAAGGGCTTGGGGGGTTGTTTGGGGAGGTTGTTTTGTGGAGGGGTTTGGTTTTGGGGTTTTTTTACACCACATGTATTTATCATATTCAAGAAATATACTTCATTCAAAAGGGATATGTGATGTGATAGCATGTGTTATTTCAAAAGTGTGCAGAGAAATAGATAATGTAATGCTCGTTGGACTGGCTAGGGAGCAGGAATTACTGTACAGCCTTGTGTTGGAGTACTCGGTTGACACAGCATTTTCAAGGAAAAAATGGATGTCTAAAAGCAGTCTGTCTTCTTGATCTCTGTTGAGACTTTAAGGGCATATTAATTGCACAAAGTGTTAGTTCTAAGATTCACCATCTCCCAGTGACATATTTGAACTCCAAGATGCGCACTTTTGTCCTGTTTCCATACATGTCCCTTATTTCCCACATATATAATTATTAATTAAATGCTTTTCTATGAGTATCAACTTATTGAATAATTTGATATTGGGAAAGGAAATTAAAACAGATGTTGAAAGTAAACAGAAGTGTTTACAGTCATCAGTTAATACATCCAGAGTATTTTCTGCTTCTTCTTACTGTTTATGTCTTTGTTCTTACTCTCCATAGATGCCAGAATTTCAGAAGAAGACTGTCCATATTAAGGACCCAGGGAGAGTAGAGGAGATTATTTGTGGCCTCATCAAAGGTGGAGCTGCCAAACTTCAGGTAAAGATAGTAGAAGGTGTAACCAGTTTGGAATAAAAGCAACTGTGGGATTGTTGCTGTATGCCAAAAAATTTAAGTATGTGTGTGTGTATATATATATATATATAAAGCAGAAGTCAATCTTCAAGATATCTCCAGAACTTAGGCATGTGAAATCTTTTAATAGTCCTTGTTGAATCAACTATAATTCAGCCAGACTCCAGATAAGTAAATGACATAAACATAGAAGCTTAGTAATTTCAGGAAATATTCCGACCAAAGAAATTAAATAAACAGTTGTGTTAGAAAAAGTTACTCTTCTGGGATATGCTAGCTTGCATTACAATGGCTCAATAGAATAGGGAGGTTTCTGTGGCACACATGCTACTCAGCTGCAGCTATTGTTGATCGTTCAGAATTTCTAGCCATTCTTTATTTTGTCCCTCCACATTGTAAGACAGTTTTGCTTTTTCTTTCCTTAAATAGATTATTACAGATTTTGATATGACATTAAGTAGATTTTCCTACAATGGAAAAAGATGTCCAACTTGTCATAGTGAGTACTTTTTTTTTTTTTTATACAGATTGGTTTGTTCACTCCTTTTAGTTTTTCTCATATTTTGATTTTCTGTCCAATTTATTCCCTAACATATGGGATTTTCTGTTGACTTGTTACCTGACCTGTACATTCTAATGAAGAAAAATTCTAGTGACTGTATGTGTTTTTATGTGTATATATATATATTAATGAAAATCTGTGTGAATTAAAATCAGATGTTATTCACAATTAAAGCATTAAGTTTTGAACTCTAAGATGTTAATGGCTATATGTGGTAAGGTTGACTTTTATTTTTTAAGAGCCTGTAATAGTCTTGACACCTGCAAGAACCAGACAGTAAACTCCTTAGAATTCTTGGCATTTTTTTCCCTATGCTGTATACGGTCTTTTAGAACAAACAAAGAGAATCCATTAACTGATGAAGTGGGAACTTTAAGACATTCAGGATGCCTCAGGATGATTTCAGAAACAGATAAATCTCAAAAAACAGACACAAAAGCTTGTAATTGGCCTTGTAATTCAGAGATGAGGGGAAGGGCTTCTTCATGTTCCTTTTACTGGTTGCTGGTAAGAAAAGTTCTGAGGAAACATATTGTTATGTCATCAAACCTCGTCATCTGTGCCATTTACAGTGCTGTAGAGCAAAGTAAAAGAAACATACCATTTTGTTTAACACACTTTTTTTTTCACTCTTCCCCCAGACATCATTGATAACTCTAAGATCATCACAGACGAATGTCGGAAAAAGGTAAACAAGAAACCTACTAGCACTTGGTTTGTTGTACAGACAACTGTCATTATTCCCTGACTGAAGAAAGTTACTTTGATTTGTTACACCAAATACCAAGTGTTATTTTATTAAAATACATTAAACATCTGGTGGTTTTTTCCCTTTCAGTTATTGCAGCTGAAAGAAACCTATTATGCTATAGAAATTGATCCAGCTCTCACTATTGAAGAGAAGTATCCATATATGGTAGAATGGTAAGAGACACTTCCCATATTCAAATTGTACTAAGATTAGATTTAGTAAGTTTTTAAAAGCAAATTAACGGCAGTACTTAGCTTCTAGCTATCACATTAACTGAATTAAGTGCTGTACAACAACTGGTTCTGTTTTGCCCTTAACTTGAATGAGCAAGAATTAACCATACAGGATGCTTTTCATCATAACATTTAATGAAAGGTGAATCTTAGTAGCAAAGTTCAACTCATTTTTCTCTTTATATTCGAGGTACCATAAATCTCATGCACTACTCATTGAACAAGGCTTACAGAAGGATAAGTTTGCAGAAATTGTGAGGGAATCTGATGTTATGCTGAAGTAAGTTCCTTTTTATTTGAATGATACTGTTTCAGAGCATTTTCTGTAGATTCTTACTGGGTGGTCAGGGGAGGAGAAAAAAAAAGAAGGAAACAAAAAACCACACACACGTTCCTGAGAATGTGACACCTTAATCCTGGAACACAGTGAGCTCTCTGTGCTCCTATTTTATTATTTATTTTTGTACCCCATTATATGTTGTAGCTAAATGCCTACAGTGATCACCAGAGATCTGAAACTTTTTTTAGTCCCATCACTACAAGCTTCATTTCTGTAGACTTTCATCCTCTTTAAATTGCACTGGTGGCATTTTTTTAAGGGCAATGTAGAGTTTAACTTAGTTCCTTTGAAAAACATTCAGTTCAATAGTTCTATCTGAGATAAAAGTGCAGCGACTTGCAAAGCATGTTTCATATGTTGTATTAAATATTGCTCTTCCTCTATGGCTGAAGGCAAGTTTAAAAGCCAGCAAAATCCTTCTTTGAAATGTGCTGTTGCTACCATCTCTTTGAAAGCTTTCTAAAACTGCCTGTAAATTTTGGACTACTGTAACAGGATGTTAGAACTTAAATTGTGGAACTATTTGTTTATAATACTGACTAAATTCTTATCTTCTGTAAACAGACAAGCACCCTGTCTCTGCCTTTTTGAAAGCCTAAGTCAATGTGTTTTGAATCTTCATTCACAAGCTAAAATTCCCTCAAAAACTTTCACAATATTTTATTTAAAATGTAAAATTCTACCAATCTAGTCTGTGTGGCGAAAGTGTATAGAGATAATATCTTCTTCCTGGAATACTATATATAGTCTTGATTGGGTACTGAACACTAAAAAACTTTCAGGAAAGAAGAACAATAAATGTTTTCAGGGTTTAAAAAACAAAACAAAATTTGTTTCATAGTAATAACTCTATAAAAAGTCACATGTTTAAGCAAGGAAGATAGAAAGGAGGTACAGCCCAATAGTAGCTAGAGGGAGTTCTACTAGTTGTTTGCTTGTTCTGGAGTATTTAGGGAGGAGGAAGTGTTTTTAAGTCTTTAAAACATGATAAGGTGTTTTTGGGGGAAAAATTATACAGAACAAGACCAAACAGCTCAATGGAGTAGTTTCTTACTAAAACTATATGCCTTATGTTAGGTTGATGGTTCTTGCTAACCTAAAAAGGTGAAGTCAAATGCTAAAACCTAAAAAAATGAAGTCAAATGGTCAGGGAAAATTAAATCTTTTTCAAAGATGATGTGACTGTCTCCTGAAAACTCAGACTGTTCTTGGCTTTCCTTATTTGAGATTTGATTTGCATTTACATTCTGTGTTGCAGAGAAGGATATGAGAACTTCTTTGATAAGCTCAGTGAACATAATATTCCTGTGTTCATATTTTCTGCTGGGATTGGGGATATTCTTGAGGAAGTAATCCACCAGGCTGGGGTCTACCATTCTAATGTCAAAGTGGTTTCCAATTTCATGGATTTCGATGAAAATGTACGTATGAGATAACACATTCTTATCAAACATGACTGTTTGTGGTATTTAGTAGCTATTTATGTATATTACAAGATGAACATTTAAATGCAGCAGATGTAACCACCTACCCTGCGATACAGAAACTCAGAATTGCATGTTCAACACTCTCTCAGGCCAAGATGAAGCAGGTGATCCCAGTTCAAACACTGTTAGCATGGTGTGATTAAAATACCATTTATTTCCTTTAATGGCAGCCTCATGTTTGGCCCAGCTCTGCTGCTCCTCCTCTTCCTCCAAGCAGGGAGAATCACTGTCTGGCTAGTCCTAACAATGGTGTTACAGTCATTTTGTTATTTAACAGTAATTTATCTTGTTCATCATCAGAGACTACATAGTTCAATGTTAGCTCAACAGTAATATCACCTATTTCCTTCTAGGATTCTATCTTGCCTGAATGATACCAGAAATAACTTCAGATTTCTTTTTTTTAATAGGGAGTATTAAAAGGATTTAAAGGAGAATTGATTCACGTTTACAACAAACACGATGGTGCCTTGAAGAACACAGAGTACTTCAAACAACTAAAAGACAACAGTAATATCATACTGCTGGGTGATTCTCAAGGAGACTTGAGTATGGCAGATGGAGTAGCAAATGTCGAGAACATTCTTAAAATTGGCTATCTCAATGATAAAGTAAGTATCCCTACATAACCTTGTAAGCTTTAAATGAAACACTGGGAGTTAGAAATAGGTTCATTATAATGTGCCTGAGATATCAAACCAAGCGTTTGCCCCATATTTGTTTTGAGACTTCAAATATTTTTCACGGATTTCTTTTTTTTATAAGACATAAGCTACAAAAACGCAAGTGTATATTGCTTTGGGTTTTGTACTGAACTGCTACCAAAAAGTATTTCCTAGAGAAGTAAAATTCAGAGGCTATAAAAATTAATTCTCTTAAATTCCTGTGGCTTCTCCCCCTCCTTTCAATACTGGATTGATACTTGAGAAAAATTATGATCTTCCAGATAACAAATTTAGGCTCTCCTCTTTTTTTTTAAGTGACACACAACTGATCAATTGCTAAGTTATAATGCACATCCATTTGCATTCAGGAGAGAAAGAAATCCACTTTTCTATATTTCCCTGTCTTTTGAGAAGCTGAAGAAGTAGTTTATCTTTGAGTATCTTTATGTGTGAGATCCTGGAATAAATCTGAGGTATTATATCCTGGAATGCTTGCAAAGCTATGTCAGGCCACTCCTACTCTGTCCTCCTGTGGAATTCACTTGTAGGAGCAATACATTATTTGCATGGCTCATTCCCTTGCAATTGGTGGAAGGATTGGGCAATATTTTAATGACAAAAAGTCTTTCAATAATCAATCCCATCTGCAATTAGGTAGATGAGCTCCTGGAAAAATATATGGACTCTTATGATATTGTTTTGGTGAAAGATGAATCCCTGGAAGTTGCCAACTCCATCCTACAGAAAATCCTGTAAATTGCAGTCTCGAGTCACTCCATTCCTTTCAGGAGGCAACTGGACAGAAGAGCACATGTGTGCTATTTTAGATGTGTTTATTACTCATTTACAGAACTGTTTAATTTAATTTAAAACTTTTATCTTCATTTTGGTATTCTGGAATATATATGGTATCAATTGTCAACTACAAGCTCCTTTTACTGCTCTTACACTGTTCTTTATTGTCTCACACTCCTGTTATAACTAGATTTAAATTGGATTTATAGATGTGATATACTGCTGCAGATGGGATAGTATGGTTCACTGTCTTTTTTAATCAGGCATTTCAGAGCAGCATTTTAGAAAATGTGGCTATTTTGTAAAATTGAAGGTGTAAACACTCTGTGAACAAGCAGTGTGCGCGTTTGTGTTGCCTTTTCTTTTCAAAGAAGACATTTCAGTCTCAGCTGTACTTTGAAGGATCTTATTCATATGCTACATACTTTCACAGAAGTTTTTCATACATATATTCTTCTCCAGTAAAAATGCTTTATTCACCCAATTCGGACAAAGTGTTTGTTCTTCACAGATTTTTGTATCATTAGAAAAAATTCTCTATCCTTACTGTTTCTTACTGTCTGTGAAATGGGAAGAATGTTTTAAGTTAGTATATCTGAGATAAAATTCCTCATCTTTGTAACAACAGATCGTTTCACAAGCTAACAGTGCACAGCCTCCCTGCACTGAGCAGGGACATCTTCAAGTCGATCAGGTTGCTCAGAGCCCCATCCAGCCTGACCTGGAATGTTTCCAAGGATGGGGCATCTACCACCTCTCTGGGCAACCTCTGACAGTGTTTCACCACACTCTTCTTCAGAAAGTATTTCCCCTGTACTGAGCAGCACCTCTCAGCATTGTGTACAGAAAGGTACAGCTTAATACCACCACAGCTTTGGAAGCTTACTTGGATATGTTGCAGGATAAGTAAAAGATGATGTTGTGACCCTGGTCCTATGAGGTCTCAGCTGTACTAAATCTATTCATTAATAAAATAGAGGCAATCATACAACTTCCCTAATGTGCAATATAGTCATTGTTCCCCTTTTTTCATTCACAGCTGTGCCATCTTCCATTGCCTGAGGAGTTGTAATGAAAACGTGGGAGAGCCTAGATCTGCATTACTCCCACCAGAAGTAACACACATCTCAAGAAATGGCCTCTTTCCCTCCAACCTGTGATCTGTTATTTAAATTCTGACTTAGTAGCACCACTCATTTTTTTTCCAAATCAGCAGATTTACACTGCTTACCATCCCTGCTGGAACTTTTCCAAGAAAGGAAGAGGAGGGGCATAGTTTCCAAACCCCATTCTGCATCCTCTGCAGTAAACTAAAGTTAAATCCCCCCTGTATTTTGAATGCAGGGTAGAGGCTTGATACGCAATCTGAGGTAGTTGTGAGCACATGAACACATGGCACATGCTATGCCAGCAGGGAACTCCTGAGCGCAGGGACCTTTTAGAAATTCCAGCCTGCATCTGAAAAGGCAAAGAGTGTTTGAGGGAAATGTCCTCCTTGTCAGGATCTAGTCATGTTTGTAATTCCTTGCTCCTGGCAGAGGGGCAGCTGGCACCCCAGAAGCAGGAGCCTTGAAGTTGTCCCTTGGAGCAGAAAACCAGTAGGACAACCAAGGCAAGGAGAGCACCTTGGCTGTCTTCCATTCCAGAGCCATGACTCAGGCAGCAGCAGATTGGAAGAGCTGAAAGCATCCTGGCAGTACCAGTGACAGGAGGAGACGGGAGCAGCAGCTGCCTCAGCCCTGGCCTGCCAAGAGCCTGTCAGCCAAAGCCAAAAACAGGGAAAGCTTGAAGGCAGCAGTGACAGCCGCTGAGTCAGCGGTCACTGGGACTGGGTGTGAAGTTTGGCCTGGTCTCTGGCCTTTCTCCCTGTCTCCCCCATTTGCCTCAGGCAGGGAGGAGGACGGGATAGTCATGTAAGGAAGGGAGCAAAACTGTAAGGAAGGGAGCAGGCTCCAGTACAGTCATCTTCTGCCAGCACTATGGATTCAGCACCGCCAGCAAGACAAGCAGGGCAATGTTACCTGTGACTCCCTGCGGGGCATCAGTGTGAGCTGCCTGCTCAGCAACCAGGTCTGCACCACCTGGGCACAGCAAGGTTCTTAGGGAATGCTGCAGCATTTCCAGGGGAGCTCAGCAATTTCTTTAGCATTCTACATTTGGAGTTTTAGGCACCTACAGAATTTACATTAGCTGAGGTAATGTTCAGGTTTTGGAAGCAGGGAAGTAGGGTTGATGGTTCTTGGTTTTAGTGCTTTTTTAAACATGCAATCATGCTTTTGTCACAGATGCCAAATAAAAGTCCAAAAGGCAAAGGCCTTCTGAAAAACACCAAGGTGTTTGGATGCACTGCTTACTCAACCAGCCTCTAGTTGCAAGGGGCTAATTACCAGGCAATACTCCCAAAGTTTACACTGGGATAAAGTTTTCCATTTACAAGCAGCTTATCTTTGGAATACAGATAACAGTTAAAATTTAGAATATGTGAAGTGTAGCTGATAGTCACAGCTCCACAGCAAGAGATGTGTCAGCAACACACTCTCTAGCACAAGATCATTCTGAGCTACAAGTGGAATGGATTTCCCTGACCACCCCAGCATCAGTGAAAAGAAGGGGGGCAATTCTGGTCTCTCTGCATAGTGTTTCTGAGAAGGGAAGACTGTCCCATGTTTTCAATCAACCTTGCCTGAGAATACACATAAACTCATTGATTCTCCCTCCAGAATTTTTCCTCAGCCTTACCCAACAGGTGAGTGAGCCATCACGCCTTTACTGTTATGAAGATCTTATTCTTTAACCCACAATTGAAAAAAAAAAACAACAAAACAAAACAAACACAAACCCCTAACCAAAACAAACAAACAAATGAACAAAACCCACACAAGTAAATCAAACGAAACCACACAGAAAAGCGCATGCAGAGCAACATAGAAAAAAGGATTAGGCAGCATCTTTAAAAGCAATTACCAAACCAGATGTCCAACTACATCTTAATCCAAGTTACTGAAATTAGTATTCAGCCTGCCTAGAGAGCCCACACACAGCAGAAGGGAGCACTTGGTTTCTCATCTACAGGGACACCTAAAACTCTTTGCCTTGGTAGAGGATTTCAGATCAAACCATCTTTCAAGCATTATGTAAGGAAGATTTTCCAATCTCACCTCCAAGCAGGTGGACAATGAATAGTCAATCACCAAATGTTCAGTCCACAATGACAACCACTTAAAGAAAAGGATTCTTGTCCTTACAAGAGGAGGCAGGTAAGTTAAGATCTCCAGCATGCTTTTCTCCTTCTATCAGTAAGTCCTGTCAGTCTCAGTTCCTATGTTAAGTAACTGCCAGAGCAGTAAACCTTTGCTAGGACATAAGAGCAACTAAGCCATGTTGCAGTTACCCCACAGAACCCATTTGCTGTGCAAAGGGTATTTCCATGCCAAATAATTTACTTCTCGAAATGCCATAATACAGCTTTCTAGAAGAAACAGTTACTTAGACAATCAACCTGAAACAGGAGGTCAGATTTTAAAAACCTGTATGGTGCTGTACAGATTATCAATATCCTCACATCTCATTGCCAGCCACAACTCATGCTTATGTGGTAGTTAAGGGAAAACACAAGATGCATTTTTAGATATCCTCACTTTATCAAAATCCCACCTTTTTGTCACTGGACTACTGGCTAATAGAAGAATCTATGTTATCAGTCACCTCTCCAAAGCCATGAACAAAATTAACTGCAAGCAAAATTAACTCTACAGCTACAGGTTAAACCGTCCTACTCCAGCAAGTCTAATTCTTGTAAGTACTATTGAGATTCTCTATTCAGTATTAGGAAAGAGATACTATTCAGAGTATGTCTTTCTAAATCAAATTTCTAACCAGAAACATTTTGACACCCTAAAAGTGTATTTCATTTATGATTTAGTTTGGAAAGAAAGGCATCATACATTTCCCAGACCATTTTCCCACAGCCAAAAGAGTATATCATAAGTTTAAAGCAAGGAATAAGCAAAGTTAAGTGAATTTGTTACTTTTCTTTCTTCCCCTACTCACAATATCTGTTCTGTCTGTAGCACATGTCCAAGGTCAAGTATTTGGGACCTTTATTTAGCTGAAAATGATTCCTCCTCTTGAGTGGGTGTTGCAGCCAGCTCAAATGTCCTCTTACTGTCAAACACACACTAATAGTCCTGAACTGAGCCAAAAACTTGCACTCAGTACTAGCTAAATATGCCTTTTTTTAAGCTTAAAGGAAAATCTGAATATTTTTCACACAGAAAAAAATAACATTCAAGTTCAACAACTGCAAACTCTGATTTAAGCAAAATTTCTCATATACTTGGCATAGGTGGGATTTTACAGCAGAAAATACTGTTATCAAATTAGGACAGAAAAAAAAAATTATAAATACCTGGATTTTTAACGGTACATACACAGGTTCCTTTTCTTTTGCACTGAGCCTCAGACAATTCAGTTGGCAATTGCCAACCCTGGCTGCCAGCAACTTCCTTTTCTAACAGCAGTCAGCTGCCCAGCTCTGAGATTAGCACCTGCCTGTTTCTTTAGAGGAGTAGCAGCGTTCTGAGTTCTAGAGAGCCCCTCATTAGCTTAACCAGCTAGTTACATCTGGCTATTAATGACACTTAAGAGTTATGATCTATTTTTCTAAAGTTAGTTAAGTATGTGAAAAAGTATCTAGATACTAATTAAGTAAATAAATTCTAAAAAGATACATTCCATAGATAAGTTCTAAATAGATAAGTTCTAAATACTAGTAGATAATAGATACTAATAGATAAATTCTAAATATTAAATAAATTCTAAATGCTACGTAAGTAGATAAATTCTAAACAAACAGATAAATTCTAAATAGATAGATAGATACAAATAGATAAATTATAAATTGCTACTTTCACCTGAAAAAAAATATGTTACATTTTGAGGTAGAAAATATTTACCATATATCCATATTCCTCACAGGCCACCCTCTCTAACAGGTTGGTGACTCAGAGGGATTTATCTGTTACTGGAGCTGCACATGCAAGGGCTGTGCTGAGCTCTCCCAGTCCACACCAGCACAATTTCACTTCCCAGCCAGCTTCCCTTGCCTCCAGGCTCTGGTTTGGTGAACGGGCAGGCAGACTGCCCTCACTTTTAGGGGGCTGCCACACATCCTGAGAAGCAATGGGTAGAAGATTCAACACGAGCGCAAACCTTTTCTCAGGAAGGTGGACCTGAGCTTTCCCTAGAGGGAAAAGCAAATAGCTACCAACAAAAAGGAAACGATTGTGTCTATGTTAGTAGTCAGAAATTCTGGATTTTATGCAGTTTAGCCTAATGCAGCCAGACAGACCTCGTTTCTGTTGCCTTTGTCTGGGCAATGCCCAGTATAAACACAATTATTCTGCAGCAACTTTTTCCTTATATTCTCCAATTTTCCCCAAAGCTGTATTCTTATTTCCAAAATGGCAACCTCCAGACTTGGAGGGGATGAGGTTAGTGGGCAACAAATACTTCCTCTAGACAGAAAAACATCTTTAGATGGATCACAAGCCATGTTTGCTAAGGCCTAAGAAGCAATGGAATGAGAATTTCAGATGTACTTACCCTAGCTGGAGGCACTGGTAAAGTCATTCCTGCTATCCCATCACTTCCAAATAAATCCAGCACTGCAATCTCTGGGATTACCAACTGCCTGCACTTTGGTGCTGCTCTTTGCCTTGCATCTGCCCTGGAGGACAACTCTGTTATCCTGGTTTATTGGGAACTCTTCAGCCCACCACCTGGAATGTTCCTCTGTGTAGAAAGATTGGGTCCATTCGCTAAGATTTTTTCAGACAAAACAATTCAGTATATCATAGAATCAGAATGGCCTGGGTTGGAAGGGACCGTAAAGATCAAGAAGTTCCAAACCCCCAAAAGGAGGGGAGATACCCAGAAGATAGACTTGGTTTTTTGGGGGTGTGTATGAGAACAGAGTAAGGATAAGGAGCTGTTTCCACACTGGGAACTGCTTCTGGCAGCACTCAAATCACAACTTGCTTCCCACTCCTCTCAGCTCTGTCAGGATGGAGAAGCAATGCACCTGAATCATAGCAAAAAGTGAGCAACTTGCTTCCCAATAAAACAAAAGGGAAAAATGTGTGCAACAGTCTTCTGAGGAAGCTGCTTTCACAAGACAGTGAAGCTTCTGAGGAGCCATTCAGGACATAAAACTTTTGATTCCAAGTACCAGTCACCGATATCCACCATTTTTACATCTGCTATAAAGAGCCTGTATTTACATCAAGCCCAAATCAGACCAGACTTCCAGTATTTTACACACAATACATGTGGGTCTTGAGCTACAGATGAAGTGAAAACATCAAACCTCACATACACAGCTCAGTGAGTTTGCTTTTGCTAGTCTGGGGAATGAAATGCTGTTTTCTATGTAAGACAATTGCATTCAGTGAAAGACTTGGAGTCCCCATCACCCTCCCAGCTGTCACAGCCAATGGCAATATGGGATGGGGAATTTAGCAAATGCCTCCTAAAGCCAAAGAATTATTTCATTTCACCTGTGTGAGGTATGAAAAAAAAGTCTTTAATAGTGGTCTATTATTTTTTATAATTTTGAATCAAATATAGAACCCATAATCTTAGTTTAAAATATTTTTCCTGAAGATGAATAGCAAATCTGAACATATTTAGGATAAGCCTGCTGCATGCAAGAGAAGAGAGCTGCAGGAAGGGTATTTGCTTCAACTCAAGATCCCAACCCACCAAAATGCCAGAAAGGAAAATGTAGCAGTTGATAGAAATTTTATTTAACAAAAAGATCAGTTATCCAACATTTCATGGTATCAAACTCAAAAAAATATTTCACTGCACTTTCTGTAAGAACTGCATTAAAAACCAATACAAAATGTTTTCATCCAACTGAAATATCAGCTTTTAGAAAGAGCATCTCAGGAAGCTTACATCCCACATGTACAGACCAAGGAAAGCAAGAAACTAGACACAAAGCATATAATGGAAACACAACTCCCTTCCTACTCCTCTTTGACAGTGTCTCGCTATACGTATTTGTGCACTTTACATGTAGTGTACTGAGGGGAATCACACGGCCTTCCAAAAAATGTGTGTTATGGGTATTTAGTGCTAAGCAGCTTTGCTCCATTTATCGAGCTAACGGGTGACTGTCTCAAGAGCTCACATAATCTAAACAGCACTCTCAGGGCTGACTCTGTGTTGAGGGATAGGCCAGAATGTTTGCACACACAAACAGATGGGCCTATTTCTTGATTTTATCACTGTCTGTCTGTTTGTTTGCCACTGCAGACTGCTCTGCTGCTTAAGCTCTAAGCACTTACTCCTTAGTCTAGCAATTCCCAAAATAGGAGACAGAAGCCCCACACAAAATCAACTGTATCCAGTATTTATGACAGCACTTGGACTTGTAATACTAATATTTAATATCTAACAAAACTATAAATAGGATTGCAACTGGAAAGGTTTTGGAATCACTGATGGGAACCCTGGCCAGCAAGAGACAAGGTTACTAATTCAATACAATACAGATGGAAGAAAACTTTTATTCCGTGAGGTAAAAACCCAACACATACACAGTATTGATTCTAGGCCTGTTTAATTTAATTCACAGCTTATGGAAATTTTGCAATGGCACAGCCATTGCACATTCTGCAATTTGCAAATCAGATTTTCTGCTGGCAAATATCCATGTGAGTTTGTTCAGTTACTGGAAAGAGTGCTCAAGCCTTCTGAAAGGAATTGGGATCAACAGCTAACAACTTTTACAGGTTATTTTCATGGGGAATATTTTGGTTCATTCTCCTGCACAAGTATTTCTGATACAGCAGGTTTTTAAAAACTCTTTTAAAAGCACTTGGTAAGTTTTCTCTCTACCATCCATCCAAGTGACCGTGTATTGTTCAATGAGAACTTCTGATTTTTAGCATAAAAACAGATCACGTGGATCATGACACCACATATGGCAGTACACTCTACCTGTTTCTACATCCTACCTTGAGGCACTTAACACTTTCTTCAGATATACCTAACAGTTCAAACTGAAAATCTCTTCCTATTTTAAGAGCCTACCCACATCCCAGCACAGGCAGACCCAGGCTATCCTTCCAGAACCACGCTTGCCAAAACCCCTTTCAGTACACATGTTCAAACAGTAGGTCAGCTCAGGACTCTTCTTTTTTTCTTATCTTTACAGTTCATCGTGTTCCTCTTTGGCCTCCTGATCTTTCAACTTGAATTCTTCAGCAGTAACTTTACCATTTCCATCCCGGTCTTGATTGGTGAACATATTTTTAACAATCTTCTCAAAATCAAAACCAGGAGCTAGTTTTCCTTTGCCAGAATCAACTTGAGCTTGGATGTACTCTGAAAACTAAGCAGAGGGACAGGAGAAGAAAACAGCTCACAATTAAATGGACATTTAAAAGTGAAGAGTATTTCAAAAGTAGCATTTACTTGTCATCGACTATCCAGCATTTTACAATTTTATTAGTTGTACGTAGAAGTACACTCTCACTACCCTATAAATTTTGCCACCTAAATTGGACTAATTAGGACAGACACAGGAGGTTTAATCACTCCAGAGAGGATAGTTTTGCAGGCCAATACATGAAGCTTACAGACATATGCCTGTATTTTACAAGAAGCAACACACAAGAGAAAAAGAATGAAACATAGAAATGAGACTTTAAATATCAGGATACCATGAGATTTGTTAAAATAGCTTCAGGCATTATGTCTTCCACTTGACTCCTGTGTGGGGAAGGTTGTAAGGTCAGTTTTCCCTAAAGACCTTTCTCCCAATATGTATGATGAAGCTATTAAAGGTGATATTAAAGGTGATACAACATCTGACTGAAGTCGTACTGCTGGCTTGCCAAAACCAGAAAGACAAACACAACTTTCCCAATTACTGTTATCTCTGATGGTACTTGTTAAATGAGCTTCAGCAATGAGAGCTATTGCTGACATTCATTTACACCTTTTAAGCCAAGCATCCTCTCGTATCCTTGGCTTCTCCTTCTCCTCCCCACTAGGTGACCAGAAGGATGTTGATAGCAAAAGCCACATACTACCTCATTCTCTAAACCAGTAAAAGCTCTTCTGTTCTCTGCAAGAACAGAAGACAGCTCTTCTGTTCTCTGCAAGAACAGAAGTGGAGATGGAAGTAAAACAAAGAGGTGGAAGACAGTGCTAGAAAAAGGGAAAACAAGATTTTGATTTTACCCCATTAGCTTGTTAAAATCGTCAAAGGCATCTCATGCTGTTCCACAGGGCCACAACCTGCCCCTTGAGCACTGCAGGCAGCTCTACTCCAGAGAGGAAAGACACAAAACAGAATGACAGAGAAAGGTGACAAAGAAGACTTAAGAAGAGAATGAAAAAAATAGAACTCCTGAGTTAAAATGCAGAGGAAAATCTCACAGAGGTTTATACTATCAGAGATGGTGTGGCAAAGGCAAAGAGCCCTCAAGTAGGGCACCCACTGACAAGCACACAATTCACCCATGGAAGGAGCAACTGCTGGCATTGTCAGGCTCCAGAAGTGATTAGACAGTTCCTGGATATACTGCTGCAGGCTCAGATTTGGCTCAGGAATTCATCTCAAACTGCCAATTAATGGACACTGAGAAGGCTGATACAGTGAAGGATTGTTGGATACCAACTCCCCCTCTTACACTTGTGTCCTAAGGATCTATTGTTGACCACAAGTATGGCCATTCTTTTTTTTTTTCTTTCTGGTTCTATTTCTAAAGCAAAATAACCATGTTATAACTGACATGCTGCCTCCCTGTTAACTTGACAACACCATGTCAGAAGAAGAGAAGAGGAGACACTCCCTTCAACATCTGCATTGATGATGGTAAGAGAAAACATCTTGATGATAGTGGTAGGAGAAAACCACTGCAGGTGTTTTCATTGTTTCAGCTTACCTCCTCCAAAAGAACCTCTCCATCATGATTCTGGTCTATTTCTTCAAAAAGATTGGGAGACACTTCCCCATTCCATACAAACATGTACCCTTCAGGCAAGCCAGACACCAGTTCCAGCAGTTCAATGTCGAAAACTAATACAGCACTACCAGGCACTTCTCCTTCTGTCACAAAAAAACATCAAAGATGGGTATTTGTCCTCACTTACATTAAAGGGTATATTTCCTTTTAATCTATAACTAAATTTATCTTCCCGCTCCAACAGGCACTTCTCTACTGTGATCCCAAGCCCATCAAATCTTCCTGTTTACTTCAGGGAGGTGATCAAAACATAAAGAAAGCTTTCATAATAAAACTGCATCAATTTTTTTACTTATAAAACTAAAACTGTGGGAATAAATCAATTTTCCTTTATCTAGCAGATACACAGTGTACTCCTGTGAGATTCAACAGAGTTGCAACAGCTTGGGATGTTACCTCAAAGAAACCACAGAAGGAGTTTAATTTATCCTTGAAAAAGAAAAGTCAAGGTCACCTCTAATCTTCTATTTGCAAGAGACTGCAAACAGGCAATCTCTCAGAGAGCCAGGTATATACCAAAACACTCACGCAATGTTTCAGACCATGCTTATCAAATGTAACTTGAACAATGGTAGATACTTATGACAGGTATTAAACACGGTAGACTTTTTATGTTATGAGGAAATTTCCAATTTATTTTATATAACTATGCACTTTTATATAATAGATAAAATTATGTACAAAATGTTGTATATCGAATACTTTTAATTTTTAGTGGAAATGCACTTAGTGGAAATTCTTATCTTTTAACACAAATTAATTCTCCTTTCAGTGTGGTACATGATGCCCTACAGTCTTTATAAACTACAAACTGTTCTGGAGCTATTCAAAGACCAGAACAACTAAATGTTTCCATATACATCAGAATTTGTTGATCTTGATGACCTCCTCTTAGAGTCCTTTCCCTCAAGTCTTTTAACTTGAAGATGAGTAACAACAACACACACTGGAACATGAAAGTTCTTGTCACTTCTGCATTTTTCTTTTTATTACTGCTGTCCCTGTCATTAAAAATTGACAAGCCTCAATGCTCTAAAGTTTCCTTAAAAAGTATTGGTGTTGGGGTTTCAACAGCACCAATACACTGTTTCACGTCCTACATTCAGTTCACGTAGTTTCCAAATTTTGAGTTTTCTTTGAGTTTCCCAACATATTAGTGCTGACCAGCCCCCTTCAGTTTTGTTTCTGAATAACATGTCGCATGTCCAAACGCGAGCACCCAGCTCCCTATCATGGAAAACAGCGTTTACATCCCTCTGCAACACCAGACTGCCTGGAGCTTTCTGTTCTGACAAAGCAACATTACTGGGGGCATGTGTTCCCTTTTGTACTGTGATGGTCTTTCTGTTGGCCACAGCAACAGCATGACTTCAAAAACAGACAGTATGTTCATTCCACTGGGGAATGGGATGGGGGGGGAGTGTCTAAAATAATGAAATGAAAAATCTCTAAAAAAATCCTATTCAAGCAGCTAAGACACACTCACCTTAAGACCTAGTACATACAAAGTAACAAAACATGCATACTCATGTTTCATTTACCCAAGGGATGCTAAGTGGATGTTCACTTACCAACTCCATCTTCTCCATAACCAAGATGAGGTGGAATAACAACTGTTCGTCGTTCCCCGACACACATGTCTTGAAGGCCCATGTCCATCCCCACTACTACCTGTCCAGATCCAAGAACTATGTTGTAAGTCTTGCCAAGGCTGTGTCTAGAGAGGAAGGAAAGAAGAATTAAAAAACACCCTCAACACACAGAATTTCTGTTGTTCAAAATTACCACAAAAACTTCTAATTAGTGTCCTGTCACTGCCAAAAATTAACTTCATGGCAAATGCTCTGTTCTACCAAAAAGTTACCTGAAGTTGTTCTCAAGTTACAGCCAGCACCAAACAGACATGGCCCTGCTGCTGACATGTCCTCTGGCACTAAAATTATAGGCTTCTTTAATGAAATCCAATTAGAATCATTAATCATGCCAATTACACCCCAAGGCATTTTATCTTGAAGATAGGGCTTTTGCCTTTCACATGTTTTTAACTACTGCTGTTGGACTTTTTGGCAGATGTAAAAATTCCAGATGTACATTTGACCCATATCCATCACTCCTATATGGGGATCTGGGTGCATTCCCATAGATCAGCTATCCCTTTAAATTAAATCAGTCACTGTAACGTATTTACTTAACCAAAACAGCCTGGAAGAATACTACTACTGCTGCTATTTACTCATATTAAATTTTGAATTATACCCTGCTGAGTGTGGCTCATTTCTAAAACCAGAAATTATCACAAGTTAAAAGCCCAGAAGTTAAACATGTATTGTGATTCTAAAAGCAAAGTGTGCAGCGTTAAGACTTTATTCTGTTGGTCTCCTTTCTTTGGTTATTTGTCTTGGCTGTGCCTCTGCAGGACATGCTTGTATAACAGAGTATCATTTGGAAAGAAAACAATTCAGTGGCTACGAGGTCAGCCTTAAAATTAGGAGCACATGACTCATGATCTTTGATACTCTATAAACTGCTTTGAATAAGTCTCAATGTAGCTTGGTTCCTGCTACAAAATGGGAATTCAGCCTTCCTGTCATATAAAAGGTGTTTTGAATCCAAACACATTACTTGTATACATACTTGCCTGCAGCACTGCATCGTGTGCACCAATCTAAGGCAGCTTTTCAGCTCTGCAAACTATTGTGTATCCTGTGAAACCTATGAGCTGATTCCTGTGTTAATTATAACCTAGTTAAAAATAGTTTTTCCCAACTTCCCTTCCAAAAAATAAAATATTATTTGGACGACTTGAGCTATCCAAAAGATGAAGGGGGAAAAAAAAGCTAGCAGAAGTATTCTTGCAGCTGCAGCAAACACTGTCACAGGCTCACTTTAGTTCTACAGGAGACAGACTGGAGCAATCTCTTGCTTCCATCATAAACCCACTGTCAACAGGCAGGAGGAAGAGGAACATTATCATCACCATCATGATCAAGCCCTCTGACAGTTTCTCCATGCTGACATGAGACAGACATGACAGGTGACTATCTACTATAAACCACACACAAGATATCTTTAATAAGACCACACCAAGCAGCCCGACCAGACCTCTCTCAGAAGCACTGAATCAGCACAGAGTGAAAATCCTACCAAAAAACTGAATAAACCAGGACAGCTCATCCATAACAAGCCCTGTGTTGTCCTGGCATTACCAGTCCAGACACCTGAATTAGCCCATTTAAACAGAATGCTATGCAGACAAACTGTTTCATCACTCCACACATACTGTTTATGTTCTTCTCCAACAAACTCCCACATCCTTTTTGTTCCCAGTTCTCTTGTTATGCTATGACAGATTGCCTTTTTCTTTTCCTCCTCCTATACATCTTAGGCAGGCAGACATAAAAAGAAAAACACATTCTATATAAATACTTAGTTTTTTTCTTAAAAAGTCTTTACTCCCTGACAGCTTGCTTTGCAGGCAATTCATTCTGCTTTTACAGCTGCTGGGAATATTTTCCTTACCAGATCATTCAAATACTTACGTCGAGTCTAGCAAAGTACCATCCAGGAGCGAAGCATTGTAGTGATATTTCAAGTAATCTCCCTTCTTACTTAGTACGGTGCAGTTGGAAGGTCTGTAGTTAACAGTAATGCCAACAGAATCTGAAGGGTTGTGGAAGTCAACCACGTGGATGTCAAAGACCAGCACTGCAGATCCTGGAATCTTTCCTAAATAGGAAACAACTTAGGTAAATAGAGAAAGAAACGGTACCCAAACAGGCTTATGATGACCAGGTACTGCACCCTGTAAGAATATGTATTCCTGCTGCATCTGTTACTGAGTCAATCTGCTCTTCTCACTCAGAATTAAAAGATGCAACAGAATGCAAGCTGCATCCTGTGTAGGAAAGAGAACCAGTGGGAAAGCACTAAACATGCACTCCAAAGTTCAACAGTGAGGGAAAAAATTTTCATTATTCTGAAATCAAAAATTATGCAGAAATGAAGCAATAATCACATATTTCCTGTGACCATCCTAAATAACTCATCTATCTTTGACGTACTAATTCAGTATTAATCATCAAAATTCTCATAGGAGTTCTCATGCTTCAAAGAATGTCACTATATCTGAAAAGTTACATTTCCCTAAAATGTCCTGATAAGAGGTAACTTATTCCCTGCCTCCCCAGGATTATGTGTAATTGCACTACCAGAATTGACAGATACATCCAGACCCAGGAATGGGGTTTGTTGGTAAAGGAGTCTAATTCTCAAATCAACAGCACGGACTTTGCAGTCCCAGAAAACAGGCTTTTCTTTTAAGGCACTTATCCAAATAACATCCCAGAAGCCACCTTTTGAAACACCAGCCATAACACCATGTTGGCTAGAAGGCTTATCATATTCAACCTCTCACAGCAATCCTTTTAGGTACTAATGAGTTTTCCCAAAAGAATGTTAATTGTATGTTATACATACACAGATACTTCGCTGTTACATGCATCCACCATTTACAGAGGCGGCTTAGAAGTTCCACAAAACCTGTGGCTGTGGAAGGAATGGGGAAGAAAACAGGATGAACTCCTTCAGAATACAGAGCTTAAGACACACAGGTCGGAAGATCTCACAGTGCAGAGCTCCTGGCACCCAAGTACCAATCTGCCTGAGACAATAATTATCCAAACAAATTCCGGTCAGCAAGTACCAGTCTGTTTGAAACACCAATTATTCAAATGAGCTCAGGCTACCAATTACATGTGAGATTGTTCTGTATTCTTACTGTCCTACCTATTGAGCTAATTAAAATAATTCTGCACATTCTGGGTGTAGTCTTGTCAGTTTTATGTCCACAAAATAACGAACTAATTCATAAACTTTTAAAATGCCAGAAAAATGAAAACAGACACAGATGGACTAAACAATAAAGAAAACCTCATTAACTATGGAAGACTTGAAAGCAAATTCAAGCTCACCTCTTCCTTCTTCTCCATATCCAAGATGAGGGGGGATTATTATTCTTCTTTTTTCACCAGTGCACACACCTAGCAAACCTTCATCCATTCCAGCAATGACATAACCTTTCCCGACATAGGTGTCATACGTATGGTTTCGTGAATAACTATGGAAAATATTTGCATTTTAACACTGTCAGGGGTACTCCAGAAAACATGGAATCTTGCAATAGCTCTGCAACACAGTTCTTAAACCAGTTAAGGTCAAAACACATGGTCATTAACCAGCACCAGAGAAGAACAAAGCAATCACCATGTTCCATGAATCCAGGCCACCAGGTTTCATCAGCCAGTGACACGTGTCACTTATTACCCAGTAGTGGGACCCTAGCTAGAGAACAGCTAGCAAATTTGCAAATTCATTTCTACTACATATTGAAAGAAAAATCACACTTATTTATGTATTTTAGACTAAGCACAAAACAAGTTTTGACAAGTAACTAAAAAAAAAATTAGTTTTCTTCTTTAAAATTTCCTCTGCCCTGACACCACTTTAATAAGTACTTATCAACTAGATACAGCTGACATTCATTCTCACGAGACATCCTTCAAACTACCTCATTTCACAACCACAGCTATGTAGTTCAACTACTACAAGGAGCAGGCGGGACAAATAAATTCTTCTGTGATGCATCTGTCACTATGACAAAGCAGTATCAACATTATCCCTCCTTCCCAAACCATGTCAACCACTTATATGTAGGTTGAAGAACCTGCTACAACACCTAATGATAGAATAAAACAAGGCTACAATGGCAATTGATGCTTAGTACAAGGACATGACTGTCTTCTGCCTTTCTTCAAGGCATGTTACATAAAGGCACAGCCCAACGAAGAAAAGGCAGAAAGGTTTCAATTAATCTTTACAAGGTAGCTCTGAGAAAGAACAAGACCAGTACAAGACCAGACCCTGATATAATTCAGAGGTTTATTCAACTGCTCTAAGTCCAGAAGACAGCCTTGGCTGAGCTACCCAGGGGCAGCTCTGCAGCTGAATATTTCGGAGCAAAAAAGCAAAGGAAAATATTATTAGAGCTCTGAAAACCAGCCATTCACAGTGCTTTTGGCATATTCCCCGTACTAGTAACAAATTTTCTCCTGGATAACTAACTCCAGGGTTTCCAGTAACTATTGTTACCTGCTCTATTTCTTCATCTTTGAATTCTGCAAAAGGCCAGGATACGATGCTCTAATGAATGTGCCCTCTAACAACTGTCAGCAATCCAGAATGATGTAGAGGCTGCTGTCTACAAAGCACTTATTACTATTTATTGACAACAACCCTAATATAAGTAATACAGCTATTTTCAAAATTTGTTTAATTACTATAGACAATACTCATTTACATCTCAAAAAAGAAAGATTCTGGGTAAGTGCATTGTGGACAAGATTTAGGCTCTTAACTTACAAGCTTTCATAAGCTGCAAATCAAGGTCTACAGCGATGGCTGCTGTTGTAGTACTAAACATTTTTCCATGAGTTTATTTCATAAAACATTTACATTGGCTCATTTTCATCTCCTTTTAGCTACTTCTGCCAGCTGTTCTGAAAGCTGGAGTGGGATAGTAAAGCACTGCTCAATTAAGAGTAACAAAAGTGACAGAAAGCTACAAGGGTATTATTCATCATATGATTCTGTACACAAGGCTCATGTGCCCAGAGAGCTTTGAATTTATTGTAAAATTAATCCCTATTCCCTTATCACAGAAACCCTCTTGTTGAATTCTGTGGTTCTATAATTCAGTCTTGAAAGACAGCAGCCTTCAAAATGCAAACAGTTTTCAAGTACAAATACAACTAACCTCAAACTAGCCACTAGCATACTGATTCACAATTTTCAGGACATAAAATGGGTATCCATATTTATTTTCTCTCTCTTCAGTGGTATTACCTATTTGGCAGATAAACTCTGAAGGGCAAAGAGTCTTCAGGCTCTCATGCCCAAAGCACTCATGGCTTCACCGGGGGGTTACCGCCCCTAGATGGCGCCGGTGACACTGTCATAGTACAAACTAATTATTTTTCCTCTCACAGGGAAAAGTTTTCTATGAGTTTTTTAAGAAGACTCCAAGTCCACTCAAAATTTTCAAAAAGGAAGGAAAAGCAAAGAATTGTATTTGGGTACATTATGGACAAGACAGAGGAGTCCAAACTGGAAATGCAATCTGTAGAGCTGAATGGTTTGGTTACCTGGAATCAAATAATGTGCCATCCAAAAGTGTGCCATTGTAATGGTATCGGAGAAAGTCTCCTGTCTGGCTTCTCCGCTCACAAGATTCAGGTACAACTTGGTTCTCAATAACGATACCATCTTTGGGGTTATGGAGATCTAGCAAAACCACATCAAAGACGAGGGAAGCTTGGCCAGGAATCTCCTTACCTACAAGAGTGTTAGAGCAGAAAAACTGGTAAGAAACAGCAGGTGTTCTAGCATAAGCTTAAACATGTTTGTTGAAGAAAAGTAACCTACTGCCAAATATCAAGCACCTCCCCTTCTAAAATAAATTAGAATCATAGAGTATCCTGAATTGGAACAGACCCACTAGGACCATCAAAGTCCAACTCCTGGCCCTGCACAGAACACCCCAAGAATCACACCATGTGGTTGAGAGTATTGTCCAAATGCTTCTTGAACTCTGTCAGGCTTGGTGTTGTGACTACTGCCCTGGGGAGCCTGTTCCAGTGCCCAACCACCCTCTAGGTGAGGAACCTCTTCCTAATATCCAACCTAAACCTCCCCTGACACAGCTTCAGGCCATTCCCTCAGGTCTTGTCACTGGTCACCACAGAGAAGAGAACAGTTTCTGCCCCTCCTCTTCCCCTCACGATGAAGTTGTAGGCTGAGATGAGGTCTCCCCTCAATGGTACCATACAAAGTCAGACACTGGGACTGTCCAAGGACACTTCTCAGGTTTGAAATAAGTCTGAACCTGCGTTTCGTCCTCTGAGTTCTCCTCTTCTCCAGGTTGAACAGACCAAATGCCTCCAGCCACTCCTCATACGGCTTCCCCTCAAAGCCCTTCACCATCTTTGTTGCCCTCCTTTGGACGCTCTCTAAGAGCTTAATGTCTCTCTTATATTGTGGTGCCCCAAAACTGCACACAATATTCAAGATGAGGTTGCACCAGTGCAGAGCAGAGCGGGACAATCCCCTCACTTGACCGGCTGGCGATGCTTTGCCTGATGGCCCCCAGGACACGGTTGACCCTCCCAGCTGCCAGGGCACATTATTCAATTTGCTCATATTTGTTCATATTCAATTTGCCATCAACTAGGACCCCAAGTCCCTTTCTGCTCTCCAGCATCTTGTTCCCCAGTCTGTCTGTACATCCAGGGCTGCCCCATCCCAGGTGCAGAATCCAGTTTAACTTCATACAGTTGGTGATTGCCCAGCCCTCTAATTTGTCTAGATCTCTCTGCAAATTTGCTTCCAGTCAGTCATTTTTTGTTTCAGTGGGTTTTTCACTCAATTCTCCAAATCAAAAATTTTACACTGCTCGTGCTGTGATGGCACTGCCTCACTGAAAACAGCTGTCTCTTCAGCAACACCCATCTTAGTCAATACACGCCAGCTCCATCTGAGCTGCATGGTTTAGTCTACCAGTACTCCCAACACACTTCGTGGAAGTACACAAAATAACCATTAGAATACAAATCTGGTACATCCGTTCCTCCCATCCTGTTAATATCAAAACAGACCCCATGGTGGAAGTTGAAGAAGGACAAATTGAGTGTCTCAGTGAAAAACTACTTTCCCATCAATGTACAAATTATAGTGTGGGTTGCTTTGACCAAGAGCCACTGAGTTAAAGATCTCAGCAAAATTTTGAAACACAACTTCACAAAGTCTTGTTATCTATGGAGATGGCTATCACAGTTAATGGCAAAGAAATCATGGAAGGCGTATGAAACCTTGTACACCACAAACACATCCATAAACATCAGAGCAGAGTAAAAATACAAGGAAGAGTCACAAACTATCCTTAACTGCCCCCTCATTTAAAATGGGGACCTCTGTGTATGATCTGCAGTCTGCTTAGTCTCACAAAACAATTAATTCATCTTGTAGTTATTGCTAAGGCATTGGTTGCAAAAAAAACCCCAATACTGGAATTAAAAATACCTTTTTTTTCCCCAAAAAGTTTTATGCTTTCTGTGGTGGTCACTGAAAGAACTATGCAGTCACCTGTCTCCAAGTTTTTGGTTCCACTAGATATTAATCACAGATTATATTCCCCAATTGAAATACAATTTCAGCATATAAATACTACAATTATATCAACAATATGTCTGTAAAGCAATTTACTGTTTAATTTTTTAAAAAATCTTGTACTTTCTAACCAATCCAATCCTGTACATAACACATTTTGAACCTCTCTTTCCACCACTTTGTTCTGTCTGTCTGAACTGGGTAATAATGCTGCCCATAAATTTAAAACATAGAAAGCTGAGTTTGTTTTAAAATACGGTTCACTTGGATTGAGAAAAAAAAAGGAATAACTAAAGGAATAACTTTTACCATCTCCTTCTTCTCCATATGCCAGGAAAGGTGGTATTGTGATAATGCGCTTCTCTCCTACGCACATTCCCAAGAGACCCTGGTCCATGCCAGGAATCAGCCATCCAATTCCCACATAGGTATCATAAGTTCGCATCCGATTATGGCTAAAAATGAGGGAGAAAAAAAAAAGCCCCACAACCAAATGTCAGACAGCCACAGGAAAGAACAAAATCGATCTTTAAATCCACAATGTAACTCACAACTAGCTATTCCAAAAGTATTGGTCCTTCCTTTACCAAGGGCTGGGTGGGTAGAGTTTCCCAGAGAGCTTAGCTATGTCAGGAACCTAACAGGGGCTTTGAAAAGTCACTCACAAATACAATGGTAGCTGTTATTAAAGCACCATTTTCAACTGAGCTCTGACGAAATACACACACTGCACACTTAAAATCTCAGTAGGAAAGTGTTGGTAGCTTGATTTCATTACAAACTCTGCTTAGCTTATAAAACTTGTATCTTACCTGTATCTATGCTGCAGTGGTTATAGAGACTTTTAACTGCCTGCAATAAACAGTAATATAAATACAGACTTTAAAATAAAAAAAAGCATCTGTGTTGGTAATGCCCATTCAGAAATAATGTGCAGTTTTATTGGTTTTAGTCAGTACTGTTATCCTATAATCCCTGAATAAATTACTAACACACATATGATGCTAACTTTCATTTCTTGTTTTTTTGGGCAATGGGCATTAATTGTTACACTGGTGAAAGGGGAGCAAATGATTGTGAGATACCTATTAAGATACACACACACAACACAGCTGCATACCTTGAATCAAATAGGGTTCCATCTAAGAATGTTCCATTGTAATGGTACCGCACAAAGTCAGACACCTGGACTGTCCGAGGACACTTCTCAGGTTTGAAATAAGTCTGAACCTGCACTTCGTCCTCTGAGTTCCAAAGATCTATCAGGAGCACATCGAAGTGGAGCACAGCATTGGGGGGTATCACACCAGCTGCAAAAGCAAAACAACACATCCAGTTCTGTTTCCCTTTTTATACAGGGCATCAGTGAAAAGGAACCAAACCACACATACCCTAAAAGGAATGATTAATGCACACCTTATTCCTTGTTATGCTTATAACTCTCTGGGCTGTTGCCACTGTTGCAGATATTTAAGGGGGGAAATCTGGCAAGGTGAACTGTTATCAAAGCTGTCTATCAAGCAAACTCATCTTGAGTTAGCATTTGTTGCCTCTCTGAGGCTGTAGAACAAAGCTGCTTTTGGCACTGATAAAAACTTGTGCAGCTCTGCAATGCCAAACCACAGTAAGTATTTAACAGTGAGGTAGATATAAATAAATAGTGAACTTTAGTAGCAAGGTTTATCTGCTGAAGGTCCTCTACAGTCAACAAATAGCTCTCCCTTCAGCATGCAGAGGGTGTCTGGAGAAATTAGCTAGGCTACAGGCTTAACAAACACCCCTGAAGGACAGGGGAGAACCTCTCCAAAATTCAGTACCTGCAATTTCTACCCTTCTCTTCTGCGATTCCATTTTCTATCTCTTCTGCTGGATCACTTACACAACCAGCTATTCATTCACTGGCTCGGGGCCGTACTTACGGACGCCTTCACTTCCGTAGGCAAGCTTAGGGGGGATTTTCACAAACCGCCGCTCATTCACGCACATGCCAACCAGAGCTTTGTCCATCCCAGCAATAAGTTGACCTTTGCCCACAAACACGTTGAATGTGGATCCCCTGTCATAGCTGAAGGGGGAAAAGCAGGCAAAAGAGTTCATTTACCCCCCATTCGACTTTTTTTTTTTCCTTGAGGGAGAGACTTTAACTCTACCTTGGTCTCCCTCTTGCCCTGTTAGCATAATTTCATCGCAAGGCAGCTGCTAAGAAAAGAGGTAAATCCAAGTGTTTCCGAGACTTCAACCCAGTTCTACTTCTGTTCACTGCTCATTGTCTATCTGAAACATAGTCTAGCAGTGTGCAATGTGTACTGCGGGCACCCAAAGCCCATAACTACAAACAGCTAATTTACACACTAATATTATAAGCAGCACTGGAAAATTAAGGAAGAAAAGGAAAAATCAAACACTATTATGAGATACAAAAGGATGACTGCTCCCACAGTATAATCTCAGCATATTGATTTTGGTGAGTAACATCACAAAAATATTGCACAAGACTGATAAGCTTTACGATGTGAGACATCACAGTTGGGGAATCTCTGTAGGAGAAAGTGAAAATATGACTTTTTGAGTAATAGCTGTGAGGTTTGCCAATGGGTTATTTATTTATTTTCTCCTCCACATTCACAGCTCTCATTAAAGTACAGAGACATGTTTTAAACAGCACATTTGCCAGATCCAGAAACAAGAGAGCTAGCTAAATGATTCTCCTCTGTGATAATACATAAAAATTCAAAAGGTAAAAGAAATGATACTTAAATTATTTACAGTTTTCCAGAGGGGATGGAGAACAGAAGCGTTACCACAGAAGAACACTAACATCAGCTTAAGTGGTTAGTTTGACCACCTTAAATCTGCACAAGGACCTCACTTTGCTATGCCTGAATTACTGCTGCTATTTAGTTTTTTGAAGTGATGTATAAACATACAACAGAAAGCATTTCAAAGGCTTCATGTCTGTTTTTAAGATTTTACTGCTTCCATTTGCTTGAATTCCTTTTATAATTTCAGGGATTTTTTTTTTTCTCTTTTTTTAGATAAAAATCAGACCGGGGGGCGGGGGGGCGACCAGGGCCATCTTTAGTGGAAAAGGGGGGAAATAAAAAATCAGGGGGGGGGGGGGGGGGGGGGGGAAGTTGAAAAAAAAAAAAAAGGCTTGTGCCTCTTTGCCTGCTAAAATATTTTGGAAAGCAGCCAGTAGCTAGATAATGCTAGGGAAATGATGTCAAACTTTCCTTCCAAGACTGTACACATCACTTCCACAACACACTGAGCCTCCTAACAGTCCCAGACCCTCGAATCTCTCAAATATTTTACTAAGCAATCTCTCTGTATGCTCCACCTTTTTTTTTTTTTGTGTTCTGGCAAACATTTCCCCTAAAATAGACAACCCTCTATACTGAGCATTTACTTTCGGTTCCACAAATATTCCCACTCCCAGGAAAGAACGGGAAATATTTAAATTAGCTCCTGACAAATTCTATTACACACACAAAACCATAATTAAGATGTTAAGATTAGTTACATAACAAGTTAAAAGAAACCCCCAAAAATGGTATTTTGTAGCAATTAACAAAGTTTGGCAATGTATCTGGGATGAACTTAGAATAGGAGAGCTTTTTTTAAATAAAAATAAATACACAACTAAGAAAACATTGATGTTAAGCAGAGAACTGAACAAAGCAGTGATCAGACCATACAGCTTTGGAGGACTGACTTTGCAGATTCCTTAAAACTAAGCAAAATTCATTTCCACTAGTGGAATTTACCAAATTAATAGCAGATGACTAGGCAATTCAATTCAGACTTTAAAGTGCAAATTATTTTATGGCCATGGAAATCAAAATGCAAATGCTGATGCAAAAGAAAAATAATAAACAGGCATATTAGTTCATTTATGTGACACAGTCATGATTAGTACGACTTTATCAACAGCCTTTTAACACGAAGAGCAGTATTATTACCTTCTGTTTGGAAATACAGAAAACTAATTTTAAAACTCAAGAACATTTACAACAGCTGAAGAACAAAATAAAACTGCCCTTAGTTCGACATCTAGAGTATTTTCTAGACTGTATAGTAGTGTTTGATTGAATTAATGCTGGTAAGCACGTTCATAAATTTAAAAAAAAAAGCAAACAAATGAACAGAAATAAGGTAGGAAAATGGGCTTTCTAATAGGCTAACTTTTGTATAAATTGACTGAATCTCCTTAACTTGTATGCAGGGAACAGTAAAGATTTTACAACAAACACTCCAAAATATTTCTTATATTAACCAACAGGACATAAAATCTTCCTACTTTTCCATTGTCTTAACATGATAAACCACTGTCATTACTCTTAAAAAAGACCATAGTTAGTGAATAATGAAAGTGTACATCAACATAAGCTGTCATCCAGAAAAAAATCCTGTGCTGAACAAACCTGATGTTTTGCACCCTTTTGAAATTAAGATGGACATAAAAATATTCAAGTTAGACTAGACCATCATCATTACTACTTATTTACTGATATTTAGAGGACCCAAAGAGACAATTATTGTACAGTTCTGCACAGAACTGCCCCAAATAATTCAGAACCAAATGACAAGGAATTTGGAGCTAAAAGGAGAGCCAGCACCTGGGTAACCCCTCCAGGTGCTCTGCCTCAATGCACAAGTTTGCTGGTACAACTCAGGGTGTAAGTAAGCCTCAGTATGTATCTGCAGCAATCAGAAACACACTTCTGAACACGTGGCCGGTTTTCCAGTTGTCACATATTTGTAAAATGAGCCACATGGATGCTGCCCTTCTGTGTCCTCACATCTGCAGCTAAGACTTATTTTCCAAGCCTGTCAGTTGCCAATGAATTCACTGCCCTTGTTGTGCCTTTTCACTGCGACTGCACCAACACCAAGTGAACCACCAGCTACCACATCCCACATTTTATCCAGAGAAGTGGTGGTGAAACGGCACTACTGGCATACTACAAATAGTCAGCTTCAGAGGAAGGGCTGAGCTTACTTTGAAGGATAGTTATTTCCCTAAGGAAAATAGATTTTCCTTGAAGCACAAGGCAGATTACCAGGATTACTGAAAATACATTTTGCTTTATCTTTCTGAGTAATACTTTGATCAGTGGCAATGAATGAAGCAAGAAAAAACAAATAAGCTGTCAGCAGCATCAACATCCTTCACAATCTCCTGATCCCACTATTTAGGTTTCTTGATGCTAAAATAACAGCAGGAAAGCAGCCAGGCACTTCACTGTACATAGGTCACATTTATTCAAGGGGAATTCATCCAAAAAATTCTAAGTAAGTACAGCCTGTTAATTCTTACATTTCTGGCAAGGATAATGATTCAGAAACATTTGAGTTCGAGTAGGTTTGAGCCTGGAGAAGATACAGGAAATGTACAGAAAGAAATGGGCAGGAAATCACTAAATACTGTGAGAGACTGCAATACCACATATGCTCCTGTTTACCAGGCTAAGGCTAACAGAATAACCTTGTAGTCTTCTCTCTCACAAAGCTCCCACTCAGTGCCTTGGAGAAGCAGCTGGAAGAACGTGGTGGGGATCCATAAGGGCAAACTACAGCGAACTGGACCCAGCCCTCTGCCCTTTCACGTTTCAAAGACATCTTCCCATGGTGGTCTGTATGTCCCGCGTTCCCGCTGTACAACACTGCCCATCCTGCCGCTGACAGAATGGTCACACCAAAAGGACCCACGGGGCATAGCTGGGAAAAAGCAGCGGGACCTGAACGGAATCTCAACCGCAGCCTCCGCCCAGCGCCACAACCTCTGCACATCCGCAAGAAACACTCTCGTGGGACCAGGACCTCCCTCTCCCCCCGAAGCGCACCCTCACACCAACCAAACCCCGAGGGGGCTGTCCCCCGCGGCGGGCTCATGCCAGACCTGGAGTCGAAGCGGGTGCCGTCGGGGAAGGCGCCGAGGTAGTGGTAGCGCACGAAGTCGCCGGGGCGCACGGCCCGCGGGCAGCTCTCGGGCACGAAGCGCCGCTCGACGCCGAGCTCGGTGCCGCCCGGAGGGCTTTCGGCGGCGGGCACCGGCGGCGCCTGGCACGCCGCCCAGCTCTCCAGCAGCGCCGGCAGCAGCAGCAGCAGCGACCCGCAGCCGGGGCCCCGCCGCCGGGCCGCCGGCCCCGCCATGGAGAGCAGCGAGCGGGGCGGCCGCGGGGCGCACCAGGCGGCGAGGGGAGGGAGAGAGGATGGAGGGAAGGGGGGGAAACAGGGAAGAGAGGGAAAACGGGCAGGGAGGGAAGGAAGGGAAACCGCCCGCCCCGGCCCGCCCGCTCCTCCTCCCGCCGCTGCAAACTTGCAAACGTGGATGAAGCGCTCCCACCGGGACGGGGGAGGAGCAGCCTGGGCGCCGACTCCCCCCGCCCGGCGCGGGGCTGCGCAGTTCGGAGCGCGGCGGAGCAGCGCCCGCACCGCCACCCCCGCGGCCGCCCCGCTCCCCTCCCCTCCCGGGGCCGGCGGTGCGACGTGGCGCTGCCCCCGACCGCCCCCCCGGCGCTCCTTCGCTCCCGGGTGTGGCACGGGACACGGGCGGACCCCGAAAGCCCGAAACACTCCCCCGCCCCCGCCATTTCCCGCGGATTCCCCGCAGCTCTTGGGTGCGGTGCTGGTCGCCCTGGGAGGGACTGAAGGCACGGCGATTGACCCCACCCCGCATCACGGCTTTTTGTCACTCTGCTCGCACACGTAGTCCGTGCACGACTTCGAGTATTTGCAGGTTTTAAGTCCCAGCGTAAATGTTCCATTGTAGATCAAGAACCTCAAAAATACAAGGTTGTGTTGGCTAATTATGCTTGACGTACACCAGTGCTGTCACAGGGATTTGCAGCTCCCTGTCAGGGAAACTTTGCAAATGACATAGAGACAAATCATAGAATCACAGAATTGTTTGAATTGGAAGAGATCATCTAGTTCCAACCTCCCTGCCAAGGGCAGGGACACTTTCCACTAGACCAGGTTGCTCAGAGCCCCATCCAACCTGGCCTTGAGTACTCCCAGGGATAGGGCATCCACAACTCTCAGCAACCTGTGCCAGTGTCTCACCACCCTCACAGCAAAGAATGTCTTCCTAATATCTAATCTAAACCTGCTCTCTTTCGGTTTGAAACCATTCCCCCTTGTCCTGTCACTACACACTCTTGTAAAAAGTCTCTCTCAATATTTCTTATTCTTATTTCTTTCAGGTAGTAGAAGGCCACAATTAGGTCACCCTGAAGCCTTCTCTTCTCCAGACTGAACAAGTCCAATTCTCTTAGCCCTTCATAACAGGAGAGGTGCTCCATCCCTCTAGTCATCTTGATGTCCCTCCTCTTAACTCACTCCAACAGGTCTGTGTCTTTCCTGTCCTGGTGACCCCAGAGCTAAACGCAGCACTCCAGGTGGGGTCTCACCAGAGCAAAGGGGCAGAATCCCCTCCCTTGACCTGCTGGCCATGCTGCTTTTGATGCAGCCTAGGACACACATGGCTTTCTGGCTGTGAGCACACATTTCTGGCTCATGTCCAGCCTCTCATCCACCAGCACTACCAAGTCCTTATTAGCAGGGCTGTTCCTGATCTGTTCATCCTCCAGCCTGTATTGATACCGGGGTTTGCCCCAAGCCAGATGGAGGACTTTGCACTTGAGGACTTTGCTATGAACCTTTTGAGGTTCCCATGGGCCCGCTTCTCAAGCTTGTCCAGGTCTCTCTGGATGGCATCCCATCCTTCAGATGTGTCAACAGCACCACTCAGCTTGGTGTCATCTGCAAATTTGCTGAGAGTGCACTCGATCCATTCATCTACGTCACTAATGAAGTTATTAAATAGCATTGGTCCCAACACGGACCAATGAAGGGCATCGCTTGACCGTCGGGAGCCAGTGACCACTACCGTCTGGATGTGACCGTCCAACCAATTCCTTATCCACTGAACAGCCCAACCATCACACTCTCTCGCCACTTTAGAGAGAAGGATGTTGTGGGGGACCATGTCAAAGGTTTTACAGGTGTCCAGAAAAATGACATCTGTAACCCTTCCCTTGTCCACTGATGCAGTCACTCCATGGTAGAAGGCCACTAGGATGGTCAGATGGGATTTGCCCTTGGTGAATCTGTGCTTGCTCTCTCGAATCACTCCCTGTCCTTCATGTGCCTTAGCACAACTCTAGGAGGCTCTGTTCCATGTTCTTCCTTGGCACAGAGATGAGGCTGACAGGTCAGTAGTTCCCAGGGTCCTCCTTTCTACCCTTTTTAAAGATGGGTGCAATCAGTACCCATCACCAGTTCCAGTCACCTGGGACTTCACCTGCTGCCACGACTTTTCAAATGTCATGGAAAGTGGCTTGGCAACTACATCATCCAATTTCCTCAGGATTCTGGGATGCATCTCATTGGATCCCATAGACTTATGTACATTCAGGTTCCTCAGGTGGTCATGAACCTGGCCTGACAAGCACCCAGTAAGATACAGTGTCAAAGAGGAATCACTTTCCAAGTCTGCCAGCAATCCCCTTTCTCTCTCTCTCTTTGATCTTGCACACACTGATGAGGAGGAACTTAGATTTATTCTCTGTTATTCTAACTGGTTTCAGTGAAGAAGCATGGAAAAGGTAAGTATCTGCACGTGAAGCACCCAACCCCAAGCAAGATGAAGTCAAAATACAATATTTTTGAAAAGAAGAGAATTTTATGGCAGAAGAATTGGGGCAACTGGTTGGAAATGCAAGCACCCTAAGAATATCATTTAAGAAATATCAATGATAAAATTTTGTTATTGACAAAGTATTAAACAAGCACAGTGTACTCTTGGACGGACTACTTGCAAAACCACAAAAAAAAAGGGAAGGTGGTGTGCCTGACCATCACAGCTGGGGAGGTGATGGCTCACAGCACAGTTCCCCATTTTTTGTTCATCCACCACTCAGCTGTACCACCCCAGCAACAGAAGGGACGCAGCCAAAACAAAGGTTTTTAAAGTGCTTTCAAAAACACTCTTGTATAATGTTGATGTATTGCTAGGAAATGGCTGCTGCGCGATGACCTAACCAGCGAAAAAAGTTGGAAACCTGGGCAGTTATTTAAAGATAACCAAACTTGCAGTTACAAATCACACCCTCCTTCCAGCAATAGTCACACTGCACATTCCAAATCAGCCTTTTAAACAAGCTCTGTAAATTGTCTGGCAGTTGCCTGGAATTAGATAGCTTATTTTGATATTGGTTTGTATGGACGCAATTTATTTTCTTAAGGAGAACTCATAGTTCACCATTGGAGTATGTTGATACAACCAACATAAAGATAAAGCTTACCCTGCACTTGGCACTTCTTATTGCCAGGCAGTGACACAGTCTCTATTTATGCACATTTATTTAAGAAGTTCTCTGTTTTCAAAACAATTCCTTGGACTCTTAATATTTATGCAAGTTTTGTACTCATTATTCTTCACCTGTGTCAATAACAGTTCTCCATTTCTGATGTAATTACCATTGCCTCAAGACTGCTCTAAGTGTTTTCAGTTTCATTGACTCCTAAAAGAGCCACGTGTCCATTCTGTGTTACCAAACCTGCTCACTTCATGCCCCAGTTCCATTTGCCCCATAGCTCCTGCACATCGTGCCTCTCCATAAGCACACACAGAGCTCAAGGTAGCTGTCAGCTGGGGAGGCACTTTCCTTTCTGTCCTCTTAGTTTTCTTCAGAGATCACAAAGGTAGAGAATGTGCAAATCCAGTCTTTTCTTTAGAAATGTCAGTTTAAACATTTTGCTGTTTTTTTCGAAGCACACATACACACAGATTCCTATTTACCTGCCTGTTTGTTTGAACACTAACCCACCTGGTCTGGAAACATTTTGGGGGTGCCGATCTCCACCAGATCTGTTCTTCAGTCAGCCTGACACACAGCCATGACTAACACAGCGTGAGAGGGGAGAAAAGCACAGACATGCCTAAAGCTCCTATAGAAGCTGGTCCAGGAAGGAGGATTATCCTTTCCAGACTTTAAAACACAGTACAGCTGAGGTCCTTTCTCTCTCTCTGAAAAGTTAGCTTTCAGGAATGTCACAGGTCAGACATTAAATGAGAATTAAGGAGTGGGGATTCATGCTGTTGTATCTCCTTTTGGAGTACATAATGTAATGTTCAAAGGGCTGCAATTCTCTTAGCTTTGGGCTACGTTATATCAATCTAAAATAGATTCAGTGCTGTTCCCATATCTTTTGAAGGGCAAGGAAGTAAAATGTCAGCTTTCATTGTCTACCTGTGTATCCCAGCAGTGTTACCATTAAGTGTGTCACACAGAGGAGAAATCCAAGAGCTCAAGTTCCAAGAAGGTAGATAAGAAAATTCCTTCATACACTACTTGGTACAAATCATGTCTCAGAAGCACTGAAGAAAGCTGAGAAGCACGCTGATGAGTCACTTCAATTAAAGATTAATTTACGGCAACTTGGGAAAAGGAAATAAAGCCTCAGCTTGGATCTGAGGTAGACAAGATACCACTGGTTTGTAACTTGAGATGCTGTTCTGCTCCTTGGAATGTGCTTGAAGCCAAGTGCCAGGCATTCATGAGATGATGGACCTAATGTAAACTAAAATGTTTGCAACACATTCGGTCACATAAACATGGGAGAGGTTGTGACTAGTGAAATATTCTGCTGAGTAGCCGTTGGACCTACTCACTACTTAACCACTAACTGTTGTCAATTACCCCTCACACAGCTAAGATTACAGGCCCAAAGATTCAGTCCCTGGATGCCTGAAGTATGTATGTATTGTGCTTTGATCCAGAGGTTTTCTAAAAAGGTAGCATACTGAGACAGAAAAACAGAGTGGATTTGAAATGTTTTCTAAGTACTCTACCAATTACAGATCAAAGAAAACAGAGGTAGTCCTTTTTTTCTTAGAAAGAATATGTCAAATGCTGCAGCTTGCAGATACCTTGAAATTATGGCAGGCAAATTTAGAGGCAACTCAGTTACTAGAAGGAAAAAAGTGAGAGCAGTGGGAATCACAGCTTGAACTGATATAGAATCCAGTTTAAAAAAACCAGCTATCTGCATTTAATCAGTAGATAATATTCATAAAGATCAAAATGTAATGCTGGTTTTGGCTGTATAATCTACCAGGGGATTGTGAGAAGGGACTCTGAATTATT